ATAGTTAGCTGTATGCTCAGATAAGATCCTGCCACTCATACTCACTCACAAGAATTTAATTGCTGTATTCATCAACAGATGAACAAGGGAATCCCTCCCCATAAATTCAGCCCTGTTTTATCACCTAAAAATGACTTTTCTCTTAGTTCTCTCCCTAGTCAAGCCTTCATTGAACCACACCCCTTCTCAAATCTGTCAAATATTTCCAAATGATATTGCCATGCTACTTAAAGGCAGATGCAAGCAGGTGGTAAAGCTGTCACAGCAATAGGCAGCAGAAACACAGCTCCCACAAGTAGCTTTGATTTGGCAAAGAAGATGAAGAGGCACTTCTCCAGGATCCCTGTGGCATTAACACTGCTGGTAGCAGCTTTTACCTCCTGTTTCTTTGGTTGAGCAAGTTCTCTTTCCTCTCGAGGGACTGCCAAGGTGCTCTAGGAGCACCATGCAGTAGACTCAGCCTCCTCAGGCCCAGTGCCACTGAGCAGTCACACGGGTTGTGCTGGGATGCCCCAATTCCCAAGCAAGACAGGAAGGACAACATTTTCAAAATGTTTCCTGCATTCTGATTGGCATACATCCATGTCTAAAAGCAAATCCTTCTCACACTCTGGCAGCTGGCATCTTACATGCAGATACCAAAGGCTGGGTGTATATCCTGAAAATATCCCACTTAGTAGTGCTCACTGGGCATTTAAATGCAGAGCTTGCCAATCTCAAGAATCCAAATTTGTGCTGCCATTTTTGCCTCTTCCCTAGTAGCAGGCACTTTTTGGTATCTCTTGTAGAAACTGTTATACAGCACACAAATGCTATAAAGGACCAGCAAAGCCTTGGCAACTGACCTTTCCCCAGCCTTGGGAGCAAGCCCTGAGAACCTTTACAGCGATGCTTCAGACCCAAAAACAAGTTAAAATTGTGCTGCTGGTTTCTACTGTGGATTAAAGGTTTCGAAAGGTGTCGTATGACTGCTACTTGACGTGGCCATTTGTTGAAGCAAATATTTTTAAAAAGAGCTTGAATAGTTCCTAATTAAATGGGTTTGTATTGTGCTGTGTGAGGGTGTGCCCCATCCTGGCTGGCAAAGCAAAACAGGTAAAGGCCAAAGCAGTAACTAACACCGAAACACAGGGAGGGATGGGGGTACTGTGCACACCTCAGGACTTAAAACCCTCTTCAACCTTTGGTCTTGTTCTCAATGCAAACAAAAGCATGAGAGAAGGTTTCATTGGGCTTTATAAAGAAGCTGTTTAGCTGTAAAAGCTGATCTACAGGCAGTGAACAAGAGAACAATAGCCCTGCCGAAATGCTACACGGGCCTGAGGTTCTGTAAGGAATAATTTCAAGTTGACTGGAAAAGATCAAATAGCAGCTGGAAAGCAAGAATATACCAGGGAGGAGGGGAGAAAGCAGCTACACTGCTTCAGCACAAGCAGCTGAAAATACAGAATAAAAAATACGTATGTTATTAGGCAGCTCTTTTGCATTGTTAACTTATTTACCCATTTGCATGGGTAAATAAACAAGAAATTTTCCTTTTTACCTTCTCACCTTTGTACAATTTTGACAGTTTTGTGTAACTACATTCCATTGTTTTATGAGGTTTTACTGAAGCTTAGAGACACAAGGGTACTGAGACACCATTGAAGTAAATGGAATCAGACACCTCAATGCTTTTGTCAATGTGACCCTTTGACCACACTGGAAATCTGCAGCTGCACGAGGGGAGACACATTCCCACACCACTAGTTTACATACACATCTTAGGATATAACTGAATTATTTTTCCTACATGTGCAAGTGGGACACCAATGCCACAGATGCAATTCCACTTCTGCCCATCTCTGGCTCTAGCTGAAGTCTCAGCCATGTCCTGGAAGTCATCCTGCAGTGATGTGTTAAGGCATGTTAAAACTCCCACATACTCAAAGGTTCCTCTCAGAGATCTAAAACTTTAGAAATCCCATTTGACACTCTTGCCTCCATTTTTTACACCTTGGTTTTCTTAGGTAGTTTTGGCATAGTCTGACTTCTGTTCTCAGACTAGATGTATATTTTTGTTCACAGACTTAGAAGCTTTACTTTAGCCTTATTTCCTGCATTTTCTTTCTTTAAAGTAGGGATGATGCATGCCTTTTCCCAGGAAGATGAAAGGATTGGTCTTCAAGTGAGCTCGCTTCTTCAGAGCACTTCACAACTGCAAGGTTACGAATTTGAGTTTAGGTTTATGCATAAGTCATAGGTTTATCTTCTAATTTTGTGGAAACATTTTGCAGATGACAAGCTCAGCCAAATTCTTGTTTCAGCAGAAAACACATGAAAAAGAAATCAATAAAACTAGAGAGGTAATACATAGTGTGTTAGAATACTCATTAAAAAGGTATCTGTATGGTAAACTATTACAGCAGAAAAATAAAAATATATGGATTAAGAAAAAAATAGCTGTCATCAACAAAAACAGATAATATTTTAACTGCTTCAACTGATCATTTAAAGTAGGGCCTCAGCTTTCTACAGCTTATGTGATTTCAGTCATGCTCAGCAATGTTTGCTGTTCTAATGTGATTTTTCACTTTCTCACTCTTTGCCATTACAGAGGCAATTCAGCAGATGTTAATTAACACCTGTGATAGCTAATATATCACCTAGAGGCATTTTCCTACCTACTGTTAGTCAGTGGAGAATTGAGCCAGGAACAAACCATAACTTGCCAGCCTTGCAGGAAGAATCTAGCTCTAAATGCTCAGTGCAGTATCTAGCCATGGGCTTGTCTCTTCCTCAAAGGTATGCCAGTGTAAAATGCTGTCCTTGTATATTTTGTACATCTGTCTATTTCATAAATTCTACTTCTCTAGCTGTTTTAGGGCCTAGCAAGGGGATTATTATAGCAATAGTATAACATGAAAAGAGCACAAGAATAGGGAAGTCAGAAAATATGGGGTTTTTTCTCCTTCTCCTCCCCTTTTTGCAGTGGTCTGAGCTACAGCATTTCTAGGAAGTACTGTTGGCAGAATTTCTCTTTGAAGTTTACACCATGCTCCTAGTCATGAACCCAGTGAAGTTAAACAGGACAGGTGAACCAATTCTGCTTTTTGGAAACTTGTCACTGAAAGGACGTGCCAAGATAAACACAACCAAGAATGCACAGACTATGAGGCTCCTTCTGTTTCCCAGGTAGTCACAGATCCAGAATCAAGATGAAGGCTCAGTTCTGCTCCTGTTCATAAAATTCAGTGGGAAAGAACCCAGAAACAGATCTATTTTAACTTTTCCTTTTCTCTTAGCCACTGAAGTGCTGCCTACTCTCCTGTCACTGAGAAGCTCTTGAGAGATCAGTGGATGGTTTATCTGCTCAAACATTTACAGACTGAGGATAGAACAAAGACCTGGAAAGCAAAATAAACTTCAGTCAGCAGTGGGGAAAAAGAAAGTTGAGTCACTAAAGTTCAAGTGCACACTATCTCTAATTTTTCACTTCAACAGGCATACAAAGGTATGGTTCTTATTTTCAGCAATGGGGAGAGTAATGCTCTTTACCTCCTTATGTAAAAGGAACTACCATGATAAACAATGACTTTGGATGAGGGGAAAGCCCTGAAATATTGCAAACAGGCAGCAGGAGATTCACAGCACGCACAGGCTTGTGTCTGAGAATCAAGCTAATTTCCACATCCCAAAACATCTGACAGTCTGATCAGTAATACTCTGAAAAGAGCCATTCTTTCTCATTTTACTCACAAGAAACCTGATATTTCGATCTGACGAGTATTACTCACCAGGGTAGACTTTTTGTTAAAATCATGCCTTACAGCTATCATGGAAAGCCACTTGCTATCCTCAAAACACGTATTATCTGATGTTATATTGCTTTATCTAAATAAAATAGGCAGTAAATCAAATTCATGAGTTGCAGCTGCTAATCAATATGCTTTAGTTGAAGACTACATTCAAATGCTGTTTCTTAGAGCTACTTGTGGATTTCAGATGTGTCATTAAGGATAAAACTGATAAATTACTTCACTACTGCTGGTGTCTATAAAATTGAGCAACTTTATGTCTTTTGTTGTATTCTGAAATGAAAAATCAGAGCCAGCAGGTATTTACAATAAATTAGGAGATGAAGGGGAAAGGTTAGCTTTTCAAAATGGTATAACTATATGGTGTCAAATATCATTCTTTAACCAACCCTCTCTTGCTCCAGCTTTCAAAAGACATCTTAGAAAATACCAGGTTTGAGTTTCTTTCTTTAGTCCTACCAGATAGAATCCCAGAGGCAGCAAAATGAGCTTCCAGTTTGTGGATGCATTTGAAACAGCCTGTCTTCTGATATCAACTATTTAAATGAGCCAAATTAAACATGGACTTTAAAGTTGAGCATCCAGCCGCGCTGGCCAGGCCAAGGCCAGGAGATATGTCCTTCAGATTCTAGCCTTCATATGAAGATATCTTGCTCAGGGACAAGAGTCTTGGTATTTTAAATATAAAATTATCACTAGTGTCATTACAGTGAAGAGAGAACTAAAAAAACAACAAAGCAAAAAAATACACCAGCATCATCATAAAAACCTTCAAAAACTCCAAACAACAACAACAACAACAACAAAAACCCCAAAAAAATCAAAACCAAACCAAATGGAAAAACCTACAACACCTTCCCCCCCCCCCCCCCCCCCCACTAAAAAAAAAAGACAACCCAAAACCAACCCTCCAAATAGTGAAGACTCCTGTCTTCCTCCAAACTAAGGTCTCTTCTCCATTCTTCCAGTTCAGTTTAAGTCATACCCTGACATAACATCTGAGGTTAAAAGTCTTGAGGCTTTCAAGGCATTTATTCCAGCGTTTCCAATTTAGGATCATTTTCTGCAGGTGCTCCCTATAATCTTTGTTGAGGTCCAGACTGACCAACCTACAATAGCAGGGAATGATTCACCAGGCAACCACTCACAGATTTATTTTTAGTTTTGGCAAGAGTAGGAATAAGCAAGCATATACTTTGCAAGTTTATTTGAAAAGTTCATTTTATTTGCTAAATATTTATCTTTTGCCCCAAACCAGCAATCCTTAGTATCTGGGATAATATTAAGAAAATTGCACTGTAACTGACATAGCTGAGGTTCACCTCATCTGCTTATTTCTATTTATTTTGTCAACATGTCACTGTTAACTTTTAAAAATACACAACAAGTACTTTCTCAGTCATCCTATTTCCTCAACTTACTTTCTGATCCATGATCTTTATAAAGAAGATGAGAAAAATACCCATACTAAGAGTTCAAACTGCCTTTTAATAATCCAGTGGCCAGAAATGCACTATGGTTATAACAGAGCAAGTATTGTCCAATACATAAGAAATTATTTCCATTTAAAGGGTTAAAAACAGTAATTCAGGTGCTCCATAAAGTGCCAGGGTTTTTTCCTGTACCAACTTAATTAATTTACATGTTTACGATCATTTAAGCTTTATTTGGTGCTCTGGCTGAGAAACAAGAGGACTATTTCTGTGCAACAGGTTATGGACAAGAGGCCTTCTCCCTCCTCTGGCCCTGCTGCGTGGGTGAGCACTAAGCTGCAGGTACTGCTGTGCACAGAGGGCAGGGAAAGTGAGACGAGGCAGCCAGCCCTTTTTCTCATGGATCTAGTTTTTCAGTGGCTGCTATCATATTCATTGAAGCAAGGATTTGACTGAGTAGGAAGATAGAATTACGTCTCCTCCCCACAGCTCAAGGTCAGGACAAAGATGGAGGAGCGCTGCAAGGTATTTTATGTGCATTTATTGACTTCGTATTCTGACCAAATTTCCAAGATGAAAGTATCATAAGCAAGGATTAAGACATGGCTAATATTCAGTCACATATTAGCCAGTATTGATATTGAACCTTAGCAGCAGCCATTGGAACAGCACACTAGACTTCTCAAATAAAACCCAAATTGGATATTTCTTGTGCCTAGGTAAAGACTTGCAACCAACAAACCTGAGACATTTCCAAAGAGCAAACAGAGTTTCACTGTAGAACAAGGCGGCTTTGAGGTACAAAAGAGAGGAGGAAACTGTATTTTCACAACAGTTTAAGGATTAAAAATGCAGAAAAGCATCTACATGAGATATATAAAACACTAGTCTGCATTCATTCTCCAGTCTCTGGCTAGTTCTGAGAATGTGACCCTCACAGAACTCACACCAAACTAGATGCAGGAGTTGAGAAATGCATCAGTGCAATTTCTGCTTCCTCGTTCTTCCATTTTGGGCACACACACATACAAAAAACATTTATTTGGACCTTGGAATACATAAACACAGGCAGACTACTTCTGCCCATAATAAACATGAAGAGTTTGCCCTCCAAAGGTAGTATGACAACCCTGGCAGCAAAGCACCCCTTTCTGCCTCCTTTCCCCCCACTCCCATCCTGGGTGAACAGTAGCTGGAATATGGTTCTTCATCATCCACCTCTCTGCTTCCAGCTTTTAAACCTTCCCCCTTTTTTCTTACCCCCCTTTTTCCAAGACCAGGTTTGCTCTGATTGCTTCTTCTCAAGAGAAGGATTTCAGATGTCCCTTGACTGAAGAGGCCTCTCATAAGAAAAGCACCTCTGAGGAGAAAGTTTAAAGATCTCCTCTCACCCCACCCCAGATCTTTTCTTGGCCAGCATGGAGTCAGCAATATAAAAAGGCAGTCCAAATCCAGTACCTTGTCGTTTTACTACAGGAAATATAAAAAGAATGTATCTACACACTGGGTGGAGGAAAAAAAAATATTTCGTGGAAATAGATTTGATGCTACAATCCCTTATGTCCTTGGGCTCCAGAGTCTGAAGGAGTGAATGACCAGTGAGCACCTCAGCAGCTACGTTGTCTGAGTTTATTGCACAGAAGCTTTCAAGGTTCATTACATATTATTGTGCACATTGAACCATGGGGCACTTACCCAGCATCTAGTGCAACATTTTAGTGATTGCCAATGGCTGGTTTAATCCATATTTTCAACTGGAATTCAGTTCTTATTTCCTTTCCAGTCACTTTTTAATTGACCTCAAATGATTAGTTACAACCAAAGAAAATCATAACTGCATAATACTTGACTGTAAGTAAATAATTTTCAGTGCCTGCCCCTATGTAGTATCTTGTATTCAGAAAAAGTCTAAAACCATTTTAACAATATAAAGTGTATTGAAAATGCATTTAAAATAAATAAGTCAGTTGCTGCTACATCACCTACTATCAAGAAATGTGTAATTGCCAAGTATTTTTAGCTGGTTTTGCTCTGTAAAGGCACAACACCAGTACAAATCTGGCTTATATTTATTTGTCAAAAAAAAACCATCCAAGAGCTCTTAGAGGAAGTGGATAACTACTCGAGTGAAAGCACATTATCTCACCATCAGAAGAAATCCTGGGACACTTAACCTTGCTTCAAAAGCCTCAGACACACTTCCAGCCCCAGTGGTAAACACTTCCAGTGGTGCCCAAGCCTATTTCCACATTAGAACTGCAACCCTGCTTGTGCTTTCCAGGGCTGGTCTCATCTCCCAAAAGAATGCTTACATCTTAACACACAATTTCTTCATTGGAGCTTCATTATCCCAGTTATCACCAATTATGCAAAAATCATGTATCCCCTGTGAATTGCTAGACAACACGGGCCTCCCTCTGTAACAGAACTATGAGGGACCAGTCTCTGAAACACCTGCTTAGTGCTACACAGTAAGAAGAGGGAGAATACCAGCATGATCCTGCCTTTTCCATTTGTAAATGCAACGTGATGTGGGACATGGGTGAAGACAAGAGCCTGCCCCTCACAATATCTCTCCATCCCGTGGGGGATGGAAGATGTGTTTGTGGCTAACAGCAGGACTGGCATGCTTTCGGCACCACCGGAGGTCCTCAGCCCTGAAATTAGATAAGAGCACTTTGCTCTCCCCTTCCTTCGGTAGAACAGCTTGTGAGATGAAAGCAGCAAAGCGCCTCCTCAGCTTGAGAGCCAGAAGGAACTGGGTCACAGGCCTCAGAGTCAGCATGTTGGCTCCTGGCGAGGGCTGCGGGAAGGTTCAGAGACCCCACCATCGGCCTTGGGATAGCACCTTTGAGCCTGCTCACCACAGTACAGGGAGTGGGGGTGTTTATTTGTGGTTTTTTAAAAAGACAATCGCATCGTCCCGTCATCCAGGGGTTTGGTGTTGGCGGTGTTCATGTAACCCAGCCATTCCCTCGCCTGGCAGCGGTGCCGGGCTCCCCGCAGTGTCCGGTCAGGGTCTGGGAGGCCGCTGCCTACACGTCACCCATGGGTCCGAGCCCAGCTGTGGGGCAGTCTCCGGCTGCCTGTCCCGCCAGTTCTCCGGCCACCCGCCCAGTGGCAGCTGCTCGGCAAGGTTCTCCTGGGCTACTCGGCCCCTTGGGCGGCATGGCCTGGGGCGCCGCCGCCGTCGAAGACCTCGGGGCTGTCGGCCAGCAGCGAGGTGCGCACCTTCCGCCGCTCCTTGAAGCGGCCCGAATGGGACACTCGGAGGCTCCGCCGGTTGCCGACTCCGGTTCCCGCGGCGTCGCCGCTGCCGAAGGGAGGGTGCTGCTCCTCCCGGCCGTCGGGGCTGGGGGTGTCGGCGGGGGTCTCGCTGGCGACGGGGTGCGGCGGGGCTACCGCCGCTTCCTTGTGCTTCTTCTTGCTGGTCAGCGATTTCCACCAGGGCCCGGCCGAGCCCTTCACGCCGGCCCGAGGAGCGGCGGTGGCCGCGGCGCTGTCCGCCATCTCGGGCTCCTGCTGGGGGGAAGAGGGCGAAGACGGGTTGGCAGCCGGGCACGCCGCCTGCCCACTCGGACGGCGCCGGGACTCCTGTTCTCCAGCACCGGGGGACGGGCAGCGCTGCCGGGAGGTGTGCCCGGCGCCCGGGAGCGGCCCGCGGGGAGGGACGGCTCCTGCGCCGGCGGCCGGGCGGGCACGGGGCGAGCGCTCTGCGCCCGTCGAGCGGCTCGGAAGCGCCGCCCGCCTCCGTGCGCGGCTCGCACAGCTCAGGTGAATGACGGCCCGGAGCCGGGCCGCGGGTCCCGCTCCCTGCACGCACCACCCCCCACACCCAGAAGTAGACCCGAGATCCGGTACCTCGGGGCTGCTGCCTCCCCGCGGGACGAGGCCGGGAGCCCGGCGCGTCCTGGGGCTCCTGCGATGGAGCTCCTTTCGCTCCCTCCTCCCTTCTTCCCTCCTCTCCCCGCCCCGCCGGCTCCCTGCGCAACAGGTACGGGAAGCGACACTGACCTGCGGCGCCGCCCGGCGCTGCGGGAGCGCTCCTGCCCCGGGGAAGCGCGGCCCCGCGGTCCGGGAAGGAGGGCGGCCGGGCGGCTGTGCGGGGCGGTGCGGAGCGGAGCGGAGGCAGGTGCCGGCCGGCCCGGGGCTCGCCCCCCTGGGCGGAGCGGCGGCCCGGCCGGCCCCGGGGCCGGGCGGCTCCCGCTAACCTGCCCAGCTCCCGCGGGGTGGGGCGGGAAGGGCCGCCCCGAGTCCGCGGGGCTGCACGGAAGAGCGTCGGCGTCCCCTCCAGGGAGACCGGGCGGTGGAGAGACAGGGGGAAGGGGCAGAGGAAGAGGAGGAGGAGCAGGAGCAGGCAGCCTCAGCGCAGGTGAGGCAGCGCCACGAAATCCGGGGCTGCCGAGATGGATGCGGTGTTGCCACCGTGCGTGGCTGAAACAAAATATCACTGCGTTTGTTTGTGCACGTGATGGATGTGCGTGGGTGGGTATTTTAGGGCCTTGAAGAAAATAGAATTGTGGTTAACTGCCCTTTAAAAAATGAGTGGTGCTGTAGGTCATGCGATGTAGTCTGGTACTTGTATTCAAATTGACTTTGTATTGGGACTTTGACTTTCTGTGTGGTGATGGATATATGATCATATAAACAACTTTGTCTTTTTTTCATTCACCCAGAAAGGAGAAAAAATATTTGTTTGTGCCACACCATGTGTTAGAAATGATTCTTTGTTCTTTGGAGAACTATGCTATGTAATATGTGTTTGATTCCTAATGCCCTTCCCATCAACAGTGAACCACTCAAGAATGTCTATGATGATGCAGAAGAGTGTGTGAAAGCAGCATATTTCAGCCTCATCTTCTTTTGTAGATCAACTTCTGCTACTTGCAGCTTCCCTGAATAGCCCATAAAGATAAGAGGTATGGAAATTGGTGAATGTGGGTTACTGAGGGAGAGGAGCCTGGGGCATGCACTTACATTACTCTGTAGATTGCCCTCTTCAAAGGCAAAAGCTTTTGGATAAGGAAGCATACACTTGAAAGTGTACACTCCAAATTGCCTAGCATATTAATTAAAATCAGCAAAAAATTCTATGGAATAAAGCACAATCTTCCAGTGATAAAAGATGGCCTTTACATTCCCTCCTAACAAGTAAGCAACTAACATTTTCCAAGACACAAAGCACCAGGGCATCAGTCTCTCTTGGGCCAAGGACAGTAGCAGACCACAGGGTCAAGTTTCTCCTTGTGACTGACCTACTGCTTTGCTACTTGTATCTGTAGAGAAAGAGAACACCAGCATCTCTCCCCATCTTGTGTCTTAGGAAAGTGCCTGGGAAAAAGAGAAATTTTGTAGAAATAAGGATAGTTTTTATTTATAAATGCTTTTTTCACAAAAAACATTGCTGGTTGTCTTTTATAGCTTTCACTCTGTGAATGGGCTTATACAAAACATTTAGTATTTATTTAATTTTGATTACCATATACTTGACCTCTTAGCTCACAAAATGCCAAACTTACATCAAATCAGTGGGTTTTAATTTTCAGTTAAACCCATTTCAATGAGTCCTAGAATGAGAGATTTTCCTTTTTGACTGACAGCTTTCCAGTGTACTGACAGCAGAGTCTACTGAAAAGAGAGAGGCAGGTTGAGAAGCTTTGTAAGAGACGTGGGAGTGGGAGGATGCTGCCTGCATGAGTCTGTGGTGGTGCAGGAGGACAGCAAAACCTGCTCTGCTTTTGAAAGTCACAACATGCTGTTCCACAAGATTGTCAGTAAGGTTAGTGTTTATACCAAAACAACTCTGACATAGAAAATGTGTGCTTCTCCCTTTCTTGCTGCAACAGTACTTGTTGCATTCTTTCAGTATACATGTATTTACAGTGTTTATTTAAACAGAAAAGTAAATAACATATTGCCTATTTAAATGCATGGAAGTTGGATAGCACATTCATTTAATAAGACTGCTGCAGTTAAATTCTGTCCTGTCTTTGCAGGAGGTTGGGATAAAAAGCAGTGGGGTTCTGTACTCCCAGCTAGGGTGGATGTGCAGCGTTGTAGCAGATGCTCCAGTACACTGCAAAATAAAATAAAATGGTGGGCTTTTTTACATTATAATATGCCTCTTTTGTGTACAGTTGGACCATACTGATATAAGTTTCTTAATAATTCTGCAGGTTCTCCAAAGTTCAGAAATATCCTAGTATTTTCAAGACTTAGATTCTAAAAGACTGATTTTAATGTCAGTCCTCAAACTAATCTTATTTACAACCCCTAATTGTTGTAGTGAATGAAAAAAGTAGTGTTTCTTGCAGTTCCCACTGTCCTTTTTCCAAACTTTGCAGAGTCTACTGTGCTCATGTTGAAACTGGGCTCTGGAAAGCTTGGATTGCCAAACCACACCCTTATCTCATTGTGCTGAGGGGACCCATCTCTACTGGCAGGACAAGAGAGGCACTGTCCACTGCAGACATCAGCCTTCCCAACACCATGGAACCCTTTGGTTTCCAAAGCTCTGATATTAAGTGCAGCTACAATTATACCAAGGGGACTCCCAGAAGCATAACATGCACTAGTGAATATTGCTATCAGAACTCTCATTTACCCTGAAACCCCAGATCATCCAGCAATTATACTGGATGTTTGAAACTTGGGTTTCTCAAATGCTAATGTTAAGGCCAAGAACATGTTCATGCCAACTGAAAAGAGAATGGCACTGGCACCTATAGGTAGCAGAGCTCTGCTAAGGTCCATATTCCCAGCAATGTTCAATGTTTGTATCTTCAAGTTTCAATTAAACTCTTAACCCTGCCCTGATATACAATTGAGCAATTGGCTCATCGAAAAAAAAAAATGCAACACTGATACCTGCTGGCACAAGGTGGCCCTTTAACATTCAGCAATAAAGCCAGTTCTTGGAACTCCTAAGTCTCAGAGTCTAAATGTTACATTAATTTAAACCAATGGACCTCTGTGCAAAGGAAAAGATCACACAAACAAATGTCTCCCATCTGTGTCAAGCTGCCAATTCAGAAGAAGCCAGCAGTAACTTAATTTCTTGTAGATTTAGATTTCCATGTGCTAGCAGTATCTCAAATCTTAGCATTATCATAATAACCACAGGAAGGACTCGAACCATTTTATGATGGGCAAGAACATTTTCCCTGTTGACACCAGGCTGCTGCTCAAGACTGTGGAACTGCAGAATTCATTACCAGTCTATGTCTGCCCTACCAAAAGAAAAAAAAAAAAAAAAATTACCAGGGCATGGGTTTTAACCCTGCACCTGATGTATTTAGCCAATTAGTGGTGACTCCCTGGCATAATTTCAAATTTGGGCCTCTGTCTGTATGTGCACTGGTTAGGCATGGTTTCAAGGCAGTGGGAGCAAAGGATTATTCCCCTTAAGCAGAATGGATGAAACTTGACAAATTTGTCACCCTCCCTAACTTTATTGCAACAGGCTTTGCACCTCCAACACTTCAGTTCACAACCACTCATCATATAACAGTCTAGGACATACATTGCACCACAGCCTCTGGGTATGAAAGCAGCTGCTGGATGGGCTGAAACACAGCCCTTGCACAATTTTTGAATCAGTGCCTATACATAAAAATGAGTCTCAAAGGTCACAGGTGACACTGAGAGGACCTCATTTAAGTACAATGTAATATGAACGGGGCATGATTGCCTTGACTCCATTTTATTGGCTGATGCAGATGTAGTTTTAAGTTTTCTGATCATACCTCCAACACTAGGGCAGACAACATCCTTATTTACATGGGCCTTGTGAAGGTAGCTCTGTGAAGTGAACTAGTCCTGTAGCAAGTTGCTGGCTTAGTGCTAGTGCTCATTCTCATTCAATGGGAAGTTCAGCTGCAGGAATAAATCTGTCTCAGAACTCAACAGGTTCTGAAACTTTATCTAAAACACTACAAGGCCCAAAACTTCATCAAAACAGACTATAAACACAGTTTCTCAAATTTTCAGTTCCCAGGCAGCCTCTGACACCAACCCTATACTTACATTCGTATGTCCAGCAGCAGTCAGATTCTTTGAATCCCAAACTCTTAAAATTTGTCTTCTCTTTTACCTTTACAGTATCTGAAAATAAAACCAAGGTCCTGTTCCTTTAGCAGATCGGAAAAATATGGATATATATGGTGACGACACCAGTACTCTTCCTAGTTCTGAAGGCCTTGCAAAAAAAGTCTGTTCATCCAATATCCCTATTCTTAACTAGAGAATCCATGCACTGTATGGAAAGACAGAGCTGATCATTAGTGATACCAACATGCTGCAGTTCTCACAACTTTGGGAACCACTCACTTAGCTTTAGATTTCCAAGGTCTGTCCCTAATTCCTACTTTAACTGTAATTTTGACACTCATGTCTGAAACAACAAAAACCCCACCATGAACAATAGCTCCTTATTGACATTATCCCTACAACACCATTCCTATTCCCAATACTGAAGGCTGTGCAGTTTGCAGTGATAAGTCTGGTTCTTCATTATTTGGATTACTGACTTAACCCTGTTACCTACAGATGTTATGACCTAAGGAGCCCAGTCTCCTGTAGTTCTTGGGCAGCAGCATGTGGTAATTAATATGGATTTTTATGTACATTGGTCATCATTTGTGCCCTACAGTAGGGCAGAAATTAAGGTATCTTCAAATATGGCTGGCAGCAATTTATGCTCTTCAAGATCTAACTATACTCCTCATTATAACACTCCTTTTAGTGGTAGCAAATGGCTCATGCTTTCAAGAAAAGAGAGAATATTTTGACTGGCACCTTGTCAGGCTCTGCAATGAAAGCAGCTTCCAGTGGCAACCTTGGTTTGTGCCATCCCTAAATCTGCTGCAAAATGAACCCTGACAGTTTCTCTACTTATAAGCAGCCGTTCATTTCTACTGTAGCTTACAAAGCACCTGTTCCCTCTGATGCAAGATTTCTTCCTAACTGCAGTCCTTAAAACATCCTGCAATAATCCATGTCCTTCAGGCTTTGAAATCCCAGTCCTGGCACTACCTGTAGCATCAGCATAATTATATTCAGAACACCATGCCTTTAGAGAAAGATAATGTAAAGTATGGCCCCATAAAAGATCCACTGATGTCCTGAATCTGCAGGCCCTAGAGCAGTCAGCAATAATCTTGGTTCCCTAAGGTTCAGATTCCTGAATCTTAACTGTTTTCTTTAATCAAGGAATTAATCTCTACAGCTAAAGAACATAAGGCGTATTGATGCTCTCACTCTTATCTCTATTAGCCCTATAGTCTTTTCATTCCCTTTAGATAGCTGTAGGGATAACAATGTCATTCTGCTTTGAAGATCCAGTTGGATAGCATTCTTCTTGCCTAAGTGTTTGTGAACTACCTCCCTAGTCAAAGAGTTTTTGTGCTTTTGGTCCCTGGTTATGAGTAGGGGGTTTATTGGCACTTCAATATTTTTCCTCTCTTTTCTGCAGAACTTCTCTCTGTACTTGTCAATAAGAGAGATAAGAAGATGGTCGGACAGACTCCTGCAGGGAGGTTGCAGAGGAGTTAAACTAGATAGCCTTTAAAGGTCCCTTCCAACCCAAACTATTCTATGATTCTGTGATCCTATGCTTCAGTCCATCTATTTATTACTCCAGGTATTTTTCAGCATCTCTCCAAGGTCTCACTAAGCCCAGAGTTTAACCACACCTGCAATCCCTTCTCCCTCCTGTGCACTGGTTTTCCCAGTAATACACAGCCCAGGTCTGTCAAAAACCTTGTTTCAGAAGAGACCCCAAACCTGATAACATTCCTTACCAGAGTCTTAGGCTAAGTGCCCCTGCAGCACTGTCTCTGTCAATAAGACTCAAATGTTGTGTGAGGTTTGAGAAGGTTATGTGGGGGAAAGTGTAGCCTTACCTCTTCTTTAGAAATAAAATGAATGTGGTTCCTATTCACCCATCTTTGTGCTGTGTTAGACCTGTTTTGTAGCTTAAACTGACCTCAGCTTGCAAAGCAGAGAGTTGAGAACAAAGCTCTGTCTTCTTTGTACTTTGTAACTTCATGTTAAAAAAAACTTTTCTATACTATGCACTTTGTTTCTCTTTCTTTCCCCTCCCCCCACAAACTCTCCTCCTCAGTAACTTCTACATCCTTTGTCCAATTCCAGTAGTATTTGACAGCAGGAGAGAGATAATTTTCTCAGCAACTGGTGTCTGGGTGGAGGAGCCCTGAGCTGGTGTCTCATTTGAGGAAACCCTTTGACTGTTCCTGTCCGTGTTCCCATGCCTCTCAGGACATGTATGCTTTGGATTCAGACACAGAGCATGCTCCTTGTCTCCAGCATCGTGGTGTCAGGAAACAATTCCTTTGCTCACTTCCCTGGTGGGTTCCAAACACTTTAACCTGACAGTAATGAGTCTCACAAAGAAGAGATTTCAGCTGTTCCACAGCACTCTGTAAAGCTACCACTTTACAAACCATTAACATAACTTTGAT